GGGACGCGCCCGGGGCCGCTGCGGGCGCTGGGAACCCGGAGAAGCGCGCCAAGTTGGGAAACGGGGAGCCGGGCTGCCCTTTCCAGGGAAACGCGCGCTGGCCTGAGCGAGGTGAGGTGCATCCCGGTGCGCAGCCAAGAGATGCTCCAGGCAGCGGGCTGCGAGCTGGAAAACTCCTGGGCGTAGTCCTAGGGCGATGCAGAATAGTCGGGAGAAGGTTTCTGGGAAGCTCTAGACGGTTTCTCCTTGGTAGGAAACAGTAACTAGAGCAGGACACATGCTTTCTGGACTTTTTGTGTCTGCCTCCAAAAGTGATGATGGAGAATGGAAAGACCCCAGTCAGGCTTTGTGCCTGGCTTCATTTCAAGAATTAAATGCCTGAAGCAGTTAGCCAAACTCACTTTGAGCCGATAAACTTACCAAGGATTTTGTGCTGCACAATGGTCAGGAATTTCTTGAGTGTTATTATCCTCCAATTTTTGTTATTGTTATTGCTATCATTACTGCTATCTTCATGCAGCAGTGATTAACTCGGTAGCACAAGTATCAAAAATAACCATGGCCATTGGCGGCTGTAAGTGGAGTTTCTCTTGTACTTGAGGGGGTGAGGAGGGAACAGTGGCTAAACCGAGTGTTTAACCCTCCTGCAGTTAAAAAGTTCTGTTGTTTGATTTTATTTCATTCTTTTCTTGGTTTTATTCTTTCTTACTTCTCTTCCTCAATTTTCCACCTCCATTTTTTCTTAGGAAAGATAGGTGAGTTTTAGTCCATTGAGTGATTGTTTACAGCCTTGATCCAAGAAGTTATTTAGGTACACGTCAAACTTTAATCCCGTGATGAGTCCCTGCAATTGCAAAGAGCTTCTCTTGCTCCTGGTGGGACAGTTCATGCACGCTGAGCGTGCGGACCACGGTCAGGTAGATCCAAACGGTTTCTGCTGCTCCCCGGCTATTTGATCCACTGCAGACCAGTGTGAGCTGCTGCTGGCTCTTGTAAATTGCTACCCCTTCTTGTGTGTGAGACAAGGCACGGAACAACGCGCTTGATGCCGTGGGATGAGGTCTAGAGCAGTTCCTCTCCTGAGTAAAAACTGACACACATCTGGCTGACAAAATCTAACTTCTTCACAAGTTTACCTCCAGCCTTTCCTCATTTAGCAAAGTCCCTTTCACTCACTGTGGTCAAGAAAGTTTTTTTTACTCCTAACAGACTGGCTGGAGCTTCATCTTTGGGATTAGAATGATTCTGAAGGATCATAAACCGACCAACTTACTATAGAACAGCCGATGTGTCCTCATGAACTTATAACAAAAGTTTAGTTTGCTGTGCTGCACACGCAATTTATTGCTCCTGCAAGAGTTACTGTAATGGATCTGTCTTAGATATGACCTGATGATTCTTCTCCTCTTTCTTTACCCTTTTAACTGTGAGAAATAAAAGCAAAAGTTCACTGAAGATGTTCACCTTCCTATCGTTCCTTTCCAGACTCTATCGAACCTGAGGATATGCCTCTGGAAAGCACTGAAATGACACAGGATCAGCTGCTGAACTATCAGTTGATGTTTCCCATAGGCCAGGACCAATCCATCCCCTGGAATGCCATCACTGCGTATGAAAACATGAAAGCAAAGAGGATATCTGAACTCAAGAAGTGGAAGGAGCAGGTCAGTATTCTTTGCACACCCTTCAGACCCTGTTTCAGTAGATGCTATGGATTCAGAACCCAGAACGAAAATGTGCACAAAATTCTAGCAGCAACACTGGGATGTCAGTGTTTTGGGTAGCCGGCAAATAAACTTTTGTAATACCTTCATCAGCCGCCTGAGAAACAGGCAAAATGTCAGGAGTGATAAAAATGGGCGTGCATCAGGTATGTCCTGTACGGACTCTATGCAGAGGCTGAACCTCTCTGCGTTTACAGTCAGATTACAACATGGGCCCTTAATTCCCAGTAGCCCATGTTGAAATCTTTGACTCCTTTTGTGTTTTAGCTAAAAACTAAGAGGCATTTGTTACTGGCCCAATGCTCAGTGAAATGAAAGGGAGCCCTTACGTACAGTTATCGATGAAAAACCAGTGCAAACCAAAAGGTGTTTCTTTTCGATCGCAAGGAAACACGATGATGTAGATGCCTGTAAAAAAGCTCAGTGAATAAAGTGAGCTTTTACCTTCGACACTGCAAAATCACACTGGGGAATGGGGGTGTTGGGGCTTTTACAAACGGGTCCTTGTTCCACTTGAGGGCACCAGAGAACCACAGTTACAGCAGTCTAGAAATGCTCACAGGCATCATGAAGGAGAAAAAAGAAACCCCACCAAAACCCTACTAACTGCCACCCCAGAAAGCCTCATTCCACATCCAGAACAGGACTTCATCACTGATTTGCTTTGAACCATTATACCCAAGTGCTGTTAGCGCCGGTTCTAATTTCTGGGCTTCTGCTTTCCTCGTCCCGAGACACTAATAAGCTCACTGGCTGCAGTAGGGCTGCTTATGTGCGGGGCTGACACTGGGAGGTCTTGCAAAAGCAAAGGCTGTGATTATTTTCACCCTAAAGTACAAATATTTGTTCAGTCACTTCTTATCCCCCTTTCACTCGTTTAAACGCGTTGGGTACTATTAATGCACAGCTGCTGTGACTTTGAGAAGGGGAGCAAGCAAATTGTGAAAATAGCGAATATTGCAAACAGCTCTTCATCCCCCAGGCACTTGGGGTTTGGGTCTTGGAGCCACAGGGGTGCTCTCCATTCTACTTTGGCAACAGCCCTGTCCTGTACAAAAGATAACAAACACTCAGATGTTTGTTCTTGCACTTTCTATGTATGCCTTGCACCTATTCTCCATACATCAACAGAGCACAGGGCCATGGCAACCCAGAAAACGTGGCTCGTCTCACGTACACCAGCCTCCGAACGTGCACCTCCCCATAATAGGAGAGATTGTACCCTCTGAGCGGTAACGTGTTTACTCAGTGCAGGTTAAATTTCCTTGTGTGGCAATTTAAGGACTTAAATCCTCATGTTTCTGTAGACAGAAAATACCTCAAAGAATGAAAACAAAGGCTTGAATGCAACACCGGAGTTTTCTGGCTGTGCTCCTACTGAAACAAGTAAAAACTACATGCAAAGCAGCCGATTATGTGCCTAAAAAAAGGATTTTCGGCTTTTTGCTAGCTTTAAAAGACCGACTACCTTTTCGTTTAGCTGGTTTCTTTGTGATTTTGGTATTGACAAATTTGCCTGGTATTCCTGCAGGGACCTTGTCAGAAGGAGCTCTACAGAGCCCTGTATAAATTGGCAAAGGCTCAGCAAAGAAGCGAGGGGGAGATTTACAAATTCTACTTACCCAACTGCAACAAGAATGGATTTTACCACAGCAAACAGGTACGTGCTTTTTCGCCTGTCTGCTTATAGCCGCACCACGACTGGCTCGACACAGCCAACCCTTTCATAGCCCTCTCCTCCCAAAGTCAGGAGTGTGCAGCTGCTGGAAACGCAGGCTGTGAAAACAGGGATCCTCAGTCGTGGGAGCAGATGGTTTGTCCTCCTCTTAAAAGTGAGCCACATGCTGTGGGCTGACAGCAGTGGAGGCAGGAGCCTTTTCCATTCACAGAACAGGTGCATACAAGGCCTTCTCCAAAATCTTTTAACCCTGTCTGCTCCTAGGCCAAATCAAGCTCCATGTACCTAAAACGTTAGCATGTTCCCAGTCAATGTTAATTCATAGTGTCCACCATCCTGCCCACTGAATACACAACAATGACAGTGGAGAACGGAGGCCCTCAGCTCCCAGGCAGTGAAAAAATCACACTGGGAGTGAAAAAGCTCTCTGGAGCAAGTTCAGCCTTCTGAAAGGGGAACAATAATACTGATTTGTGCTGCCTATAGGTACGTTATATGCTCATTTCCATTATAGCCTCACAAAAAGCCATTGCAAGAGAGACAGAGTAATCTGCAGACTTTAAATAAATTTCCAGACCTCATGCCACCCCCTCGTCATGTGCACAGGTCACAGGTCACAACTGCAGGCCATGTGCACGAACTTAGTAGGTCTGCATAAGTCTGCGTCACCGAGATGCCTTGTGTTTTGAGCATGGCACCACTGTGTGACTCACAGACATTGTGACCCAGGATCTAATCAGGCCCAAACAGACATCTGTTTAACCCCTCCCCAAGAAAAAATACCACCCTATTTGCTTCCTTCCATGAAGAGCCAGACAACTGAGCCATTGTTCTCGTTCTACCAGCTCCTATATTCTACCTTTCTTTGGTTTCTCACGCTGGAAGACCTGATCCTGGTTCTGTCCAACACCTCTGATTGCAGTATCTCACAGGTAATCTGCTTACAGTCACTAACTGTGGGGTTTTTTTGCTGACAATATTCTAGTGCGAAACGTTGCTGGATGGAGAGTCTGCTGGATGCTGGTGCGTCTATCCAACAAACGGAAGAAGAATTCCTGGAGCTCCAGAAACTAAAGGAGACCCCGAATGCCAACAGTATCTCAGCACAGAAGAATAAAACTGAACACATTCATCCACACTAAGCTTTCTGTGGGGCCTGATCTGGTCAGGAGACATTTCAGTCAGGAGCCGTTTCAGTAAGGTTGTTCTGTGCATCTGACTTGCAGCATATGAGTAACCCCATAAAGCAGGTTTTTACCACACTGGGCTTATTCAGCTGCTTAGGTGACAAATATGAGCCACTGCAAGGTCAAGTCCTACAATCCTGTACGTTTTGTTTGCATAACATTATAGATACCCTCCTATGTAAAGCTGTTGGATTATTTATTTCACAGTACGTGTGTTTGTGTGTGCATTGTTACTAATTTATATCCTCAGACACTTCATAACTTTATATGTAAATACTTAATATTATTGCTCTTAAATGTATGCAACTTACGTTGGAGGAATGTTGCTACTTAAAACTTCAAACGGCATAACTCTGTTGGGAGAAATGGCTTGTAAACTTGCATTTTTTGTACTATGTATTTATAGATGTAAAAGTGAATTTTAAAAAAATAGCTTTCCATAAAAACATGTTTAGAAACGTATTTAAAATCTGTTTTGTTTATATATGATGTTGCTTTTGCACCTCTGTGTCAGTGTCAAGCTGTTTCTTAAAAAAGAAAGCCTAAACCTTGATTATATTACTGAAGCTCCTGATGGGACAGTATGTGTTCCTATTTTCCAAACAGACATGCTGGATAAATGGGAAAACACTACAGGATATTCTGTGGCACCTTTGACAGGTGTAAGTTGTTCACATGTTGACTTTGTCGTGTTATTTAAGATGAGTTATTAAATAATATCTTCCACACTGTCTTGGTCTCTTGCTGAGGTTGCCTTCCTTTGCTCTCCCTGCACCATTCCCAAGGGAAGTTATTAAAAGGCTTTCAGGGTAGGAGCGCTGGATGCCTTTCTCCACTCAAAAGACCCAAGGCAGCTGTGTTGGTGCATTTAGAATGAGGCTAGAAAGGGTCATTCCCTGCACAGAAAGTCCAAGGTTCCAAAAGGGAGGCTGAAGAAAAGCCTGGCCTTGCTCATTTTAGTGAAAGCAGAGAAGAGAGTCCCCTTGGCCTGGGATGCAGTCCCTCTCCATCCCCAGCATGTTCCATCAACTTGGTGGTTGCAGAGGAAGAGAAGGAAAGCAAGTGACTGCCCTGCCAGCTTCAAGTTGGTTTTATCCATGGAGAAACTGGTGTGAGGATTAGTGAGTCCCAGAGGTAGAAACAGGCTGCACCAACCCTACCTGAGAAAACAGCCTGAGAGGAGTAACGTTTGCTAAGGGCCTGGCAGGAGGGAAACTCGGCATAAAATCCTCCTGCCGGTCTTGGCACAAGCTTTGAGTTTTAAATGGGAGTGGGAAGAAGCCTGTAGAAATGGCAAAGCATGGAGATCCAGGCTCTCCATACCACGGTTCCGTGCATCACACCTTGTGCTCGCTGGATGTGTTGGATGTACCTGCACGCCCGTGTCAGCTGACCTGAGGGGGGTCTAATGAACCCCTCCAGATTTAAAGGTATGGATATTCCACTGAGCTCCTTGGTAAAGTGTTTTGAGATCTTCCCAATGAAGGCACTGCAAAAGCAGGGGATGACACTGGCATTAAAAATAACGAATGCCTAGCTTCCCTGCAATGAGCTACAGTGAGGCCTGGCTGAACCTGTGCTACAGTACCACATCCGCTGTCTCAAAATGCTAGGCAATCATTGTGTAGAACCACAGAATGGTTTGGGTGGGGAGGGACCTTAAAGCCCACCCAGTGACCCCCTGCCATGGACAGGGACACCTTGCATGAGACCAGGTTGCTCCCAGCCTCATCCAGCCTGGCTGGCTCATACCCTCACAGCTACAGCACATGCTTAAGGCCACTCTGACTGTCCTTCTCCCATCAGCCTTGTGTGAAGGTTGATCTCTACAGAGCAGAAATTTTGGTGATTTTGTTGGGATCATTATATATGCACAGCAGAAATGCTCGTCATGTTTATTAACAGCACAGCCTATTTGCAGTGGAGCAACCCAGTGGAGTGCTACCTCCAATATTTTTGGAGGGTGGCAGGTTCCCATCCTAGCTAAAAGAAATTATAGTCTTTAACAGGGATGGGTTTTTAAGGGAACTCTTTCTTTTAAATGCCAAGTAGCAGGAGCAGAAGGTGCTTCCTACGGCATTTAGGCATTAGAAGCCAGTTTCTGAGCAGGGTTTAGCTCCCACTGAAAGCCACAGGAGTTGGGTGCTTCCTTAACTGCAATCTGGCCTTGTGTGGCACCTTGCCAGGGCTCCCCAAGACATGATTCTGCAGAGCTGCTCTGGGATGGGCTGTCTGACTTGGGCCAGACTGGTCTAGGAACTGGGATTAGGACTAGTGCGTGAAAAATCACAGGTTTGTATAGTCCCTTTCCTTTGGGGTTTTTGGGGTTTTTTTCCTGTTTGTGGGGCCCTGTTTTTTTTCTTTGCCATGTGGCTGCTGGTAATCCTGGCTTTAGTGTGTGCCTTCTACAGTTGTCCCACCTGTGGGACCAAGACTGGTGGGAATGAGCGGAGAAACAAGGAAGGTGACGCAGGGTGCTCTCTGCAGCTTGGGTCACCTGGCGTGCAGCTGGATGTGTAAAAGGGAGGTACTGTTCCTCGTTATTTCAGCTCCCTCCCTGCACATCCTCTTGCACCCTACCCACCCAATCTAAAAAAAAATTGTTGGGAAGGTCTTAAGTGACCATCTGTAATGTTTGGTTCATGTTATCTGAGAACCCTACCTGCCCAGTTTGTGATTTCTTCATGCCAAAACTCTGCCAGGTTTACTGCAGCAGGGTTGGTGATAGCCATGCCTCTTCCTGTCCCTGGCCTATCACCAGCTGCAAAGTGCTCATAGCACAGAAATGAGGTCACTGCTCTCTGCACTTCATTTTCTACCCTCCTTTTCCCCTAAAGCTGTGCAAGATGACCTACAGCCACCTGGAATTGGGCTCTGCTCAGACTGAGTCAGTTCTGCTCATCAGTTTCGGGTACAGTGGAGATGCACTGGTGTTGGCTTGTGCTGGTTGGAGGCGAGGGGAGAGAAAGACAACAGGGGTGGAGGGCAGCCAACACCGAGACTGAAAGCTCATCAGCATCTCTGTTGCTTCATAAGGACGCATGCTCTGCAAAGGCAAATCATACAGACCTGGCCCAAAACACAATCAGATATTAACCACATCAAGATTAGAATTTCCCTTTCCAAAACCAATATATTCTTTTTACCTTGGGCTTGCGAATAAGAGTCCTAAATGTGTTGCAAACAGAAAACATATCACATATAGCTTGCTTTTCTCAAGGGGAAGAAAAGTGGGATGGAAAAGCACAGCACATGTCAGAGGCTTGTCACAGGATTTACTGCACTCCTGGAAAGTGTTCAGCTCCCGTAGCATCAGATACCACGTGGGAGCCCCAGGAAAGTACTGAAACAGAGCAGGTTTTTTGCTGGAAAGGTGTTTGTGCTTTACCAGCAGTCTAGCAACGTTGACTTGGCAGAATTAGAAACATCATTTTTCTACCCACATCACCACCTTGCTATGACAGAACACCACCACCATCTCATCCTGGCACAACCCGTAATAATAAAAGGTATCTGTAAAAAACAGCAATCCAAGCAGCTCATTCCAAGCAAGGCGCTCAGCCGTGCTGCACATTGAACAGAGGAGTCCTATCTCTACCTTCAGACAACACCTTTGAAGTGAGTCTACTTTTCCTTGGCTATCACATCCCTGATAAACCACTCAACAGCCTCCCCAGTCCGCACTGACGACAGGTCCCGGGCTTTTCATCTGCCCACCCATTTCATCTTCATGGAACACCTGTCTTATGCACTTGCACATTGCATCAAGAATCAGGCAGGGATCCGGAGCGCACGGGAAAGCGAGGTACGAGCATCTTAACAAACACCTAATTGCATTTAGCACATTTGTCTCTTCAGGCTGGGGCGGACAGGATACAGAGAGTAACAGTAGCAGAGCTGGGGCAAGCCAAGGGCTTCTTTTACTGACGTGTATGGGGTTTAACCTTGGTTGGCAGTAAAACGCCTTGCAACTACTTGCTCACCTCCAGTGGAGGAGGTGAATCGGAGGAAAAGACAAGAATGCTTGTAAAATTGAGATAAGAACGATTTAATAATTGAATATAAATGAGTATTCCAATGATACTACTAGTATTAACTATACTACTACTAATTAATAATAATAAGTTTGGGTCAGCTGTCTGAACTGTCTGTCCTCTCACGCTGCCTGTAGCGAGAAAGTTGAGAACACAGGGGCAGGATCAGAAGCTGAGAGAGACATTGAATCTTGTGCAAGGACTCCCCAGCACCAGCTAAAAAGACACCTTATCAGTGCTTTTCCCAGGGTAAATCCAGAAACCAGATTCACACCAACTACTGTGAAGAGAGTTAACGCTTTCCTGACTGAAACCAGCACAACACCCACCCTGTATTACCCAGTCACAGTGGTAGGGGTTGGAAGGGACCTCTAGCCATCACCTAGTCCAACCCCCTACCAGAGCAGGATCACATTTAGGAAAAGGCAGGAGGGGACAAAGAAGGATCTGCTGGAAGTGCAGCTGTTAGTTCTGTATTACAAGAGAGTACCAAAACCAACAGTGGAGCGGGAGCCCTGACATACCAGCACTTGTCCTCTGAGTAATAAAACCAGCTCTGATGGTAGCTCTGTCAACAAAGAACTTTGTTTTATGTTCCCTCCTTTCCTCCTCCCCTGGGCTACCTCCTCTGTCAGGGTGCAAAGTCCATTTGCAAGTCAGTCACAGCCAGGGGCCACCTCCTGCAGGGAGGAGGGAGCAAGGGTGGATGTGGAAGTAAGGTCAAAGGCACAAACCTAAGCCTGGCCCATTCCAGATCTTGGCTTATTGCATCTTGCAAAAGTTCCTGCTCGCCTTTTCCGACTCCATGTTGGGTCGTCACCTCCTAGTTGCAGTATGGGCAGCCCAGCAGAGAGAAGGGCTTTTCAAGTCAGTCACTTAGGGTTTTTTTTACTGGG